TATGATTTTATTTCATTAAGTGTTCTTTATATTCATTATATATCTCTAATATACTATATATCATAGATTCTAAGATGCTTTGGTGCTGGTACTGTTTGTCACAACCATGACTCGAAGTCACCATAAGGTGTAAGATGCATCCTGAACTTCAGGGAGAAAAAAATGTTCAATAATGTGCCACTCACAATAAAAGAAAGGAAATACATTTAATTGTTTATTTACAATTACATTTTTATTGCAGTATAAAAGAAAAATGATCTGAATACAGCACATACTAAATGGAAATATACTTAGTGATTCATTTGTTTCTGTTTATATTAAGTAGCTTGTATTTTAAATACTCTGTATTATGGAGAAATCCTTGGTGAATTGTCAAGTAGGTGTTGAGTACTTTAGCTATATCTAGGAAATTGTTTAGGGTCTTGAGCGGGCTGAAAATTCATTATGATTTTTCCTACTCAAAATAATAAAATATGGGGCACCACTTTCCAAAAAATTGCCACACAATACATAAAAAGATGTACCTCAATATACTGAAACACATATATGTAATAAAGTTACAAAAATATAAAGAATGAAACACAAAATTAAAACTGCTGATTACTTCTGGGGAAGAGGGCAGAGGAAAGAATGGGAAACGGAAACAGCTCCATTAAGTACAATGCAGGAAAATACACATTTGTTAAAGACAAAGACGATGAATCACAGCTACACTATATAGTCACTAGTAAAGATCTGAAAAGGTACACAACAAACTCTTAAGAGTAAAGTTGTCAAGGCAAACTTTCTCATTGTTACTTTATATTCCGTATTTTTCTTCAACGTTTTGGTAATGGGCATGTGATTTTTAAAGTTAATAAAAAGTAAGTAAGGTATTTAATGTTGGGGAAGAAAACGGCAATACAATCATTGTTACAGTTCTCTGACATACAATAGTCCACAAAAATACAGTGTTTTAGGTTATGAATCATTCTTCAGAAACCTATGGACTAGGATGCATTAGACCCAGTTTGTAGATAATGCATTGAATGAGCTAGCATATGATGTGACCAATGACCTCATATTGAAAAGTTCCACTTAAAGTAACATCTAAATATCTTGAAAATACCTCTATTTTTCCATACCACTTACAATGGTATGTTACCCAGTATACTTTCCATTTCTTCCTTTCCCTTCTTTCACTGTTTTGTTTAATTTTATTGGAACAACATGCACTGAACACCTATCTACATACCAGGCACCAAGCTACGTATTGGCAGTACCAAAATAAATAGATACGGTCCCAGTTTTCAAGAAGCTTATTAGATACAGCAGTATTATCGAATTCGATTTTCTGCAATGGAAATGTTCTGTACCTGTACTGTTCAATACAGTAGCCATTAGCAGCATGTAGCCACTGAGCATTTGAAATGTGGTTAATGTGACCAATGAACTTTCAAGTTTATTTAATTTAAATGAGTTTAAATTTAAATAGCTACTTGTGACTAGTGCCTATGGCACTGGACTGCACAAGTCTACAGGAAGATAAGGACAAATAACCACAACTACAATGTATTATGGTAAACTCTAAACTAGAAGTATGTTAAAGGCTATGAAAGAAAGGGAAAGGAACACTGAGTCTACCATAGGGTGACGTCTGGAAAAACTGACACTTAATTCTTGAATCATGTGAACAAAGGTGAGGCATTACATGAAAATAACCAATATAAGTAAACCCTTGTGGATTTAAAACTGCATGGCAGGGAGATTAAAAGTAGTGTTGTATCACTAAATGGGAAAATCTACTACAAAGAGTAACAGGACAGATACTGGAAAGGTAAATGTATGTTAAGAAGGCCAGAATGTGGGAAGTCTAAATGTAATGTTTAGAAGCTTGAATATGCTACCTAACAAAGGGAAAGCAGGGTCGGGCAGGGTGGCTCACACCTGTAATCCCAGCACTTCCAGAGGCCGAGGCGGACAGATTACGAGGTCAGGAGTTCGAAGCCAGCCTGACCAACATGGTGAAACTCCATCTCTACTAAAAATACAAAAATTAGCTGGGCGTGGTGGCGCACACCCGTAATCCAGCTACTCAGGAGGCTGAGGCAGGAGAACAGCTTGAATCCAGGAGGCAGAGGTTGCAGTGAGTGCACCACTGCACTCCAGCCTGGGCGACAGAGTGAGAGTCCGTCTCAAAACAACAACCCCCCCCCCAAAAAAAAACAAAAAAGGGAAAGCCATTGATTAGTTACATTGGTAATTAAGATGGTTTATATTTGTGCATGCGCATGCTCATAGTTAGGGTAAGTTAGTCTAAATTAGAGGAAGATAAGAAAATGCTTACAAAAACTGAAGGTGCATTTCCTTGGAAAAACCTTGACAATCCAAAAATGAACCGTGAGCCATATAAATAAATTGTTTTATCTGAACTAATATGCAAGTCTATCTCTGCAAATAAACTTCAACTACTGTATTCAAACTCTGAATACCTAACTGGGATTAAATTTATAGTAAGAAAGGAAACACACAAAGTAGATACCACCACAAAAATCAATACTTCAAACCATGCCCATTTAAAAGTCACTGTCTTTAGCACATAGCCGAGGGAATGTACCTTCCTAAACTAAATTCCTAAGGCTTTAATCAGGTCCGTAAGGAAATGAGACCTGGAGAAATGTTACAAAAATTCTTGTTAAACTCTGGAGTATTAGCCTATTATCAGAATGTTCGAATAAATACAAAGTATCTCTCAAAAGCAAAAGCCCTCAAAGATAAATGAAAATGGTTATAAACATAGACACAACAAAATTCTACTTTATCCTTGGAAAATAAATACATTTCCTCCAAAATAGAATTTTTAAAAATCCAAAATCATTTTTATCAATTCGGAAGATTTAAGTTCTCTCTTCTAGCTATTTGAAATATACAATACCTTGTTAATTATAGTCACCCTACTCTGCTACGGAACACTAGAATTTATCCCTCTATGTCCCTTTTCTCTTTTGTTTTTACTTAGTGATGCTAAATGCATATTGAAGTATCCTTGGAAACAGCTGTTTAAAGCTGGATTGTAAAATTACTTTATTTTTGAACCCTACTCTGAAAAGCACATGTATAGAAACAGAATTTCCTGTTAGGTATTATGATGAATATATTAAGAATATAAAAATTCTTAGACTACCAGTACAAATACAAATGTTACTTTAGTGATGAACATTCCTTTGAATTTCCCATACATTCTTATATACACATTCTATACATGTGACAAAATACCACACGTACCTCATAAATATGTACAACTATGTATCAATAAACGAAGAGAGAAAAGGGACGACATTTTGAGGCAGCAAAACCATAACCAAAAATGCGTTTTCCAGGTATGCTAAAAAACCTGGATTATTTGTAAATAATGTGACTGGAACAATGGAGTATTTTTAGTGTAGAATGAGCAAGAATAAGCAGATGTCTTCATGTATAAAACCTAATTCTGTTTCCTTTCTTAACTATAAATTTTGGAATTCTATATTAATATGGTTCCATGAGACAAATTAACTACAGTGTGTAATTACATAAAAATTCTACATTCACACTTTACAAACTGGATTATGAGCACTGAAAAGCTACATAATTCAGAATCACAAAATTCTTAAAATAATTTGGCAGAACCTACCAAAAGATGCAGAAGTCCAAGAAGTGTGACCAATTAAAATCTTATGAGTCAAGGTAATTGGAAGCGGTTGGGAAGCAGGAGCTACACCTGAGTACAAATAATTAGCAAAGGCTATGTTGGTCAAGTCTATGAGGGCAACTCAGAAGAAAGCTTACAGAGAAAACTGATTCAGCATAGCCTCAGTTTTCTCTGGCTAATTAAAATCATAAAGATCTGGCAAGAAACTTTAGACACCAAGTTAGAAAAAAATTCTAGAAAGGTTAAATATGACATTATTTTTAATTAGGAACAGTGCCTAAACCAGAACCCAGATCTTATAGTCAAAGGCTCTTTGTTATACGATACACCAAAAAGACTAATTTACAATTTGCTCCACTGCTCACTTTTCCAATTTGAGGGAAGGAAAGATTAGCTGGGCTAAAATAAATGGTTAGCAGATAAACGGTTAACCAAAGCTGCTGCTATCATACTAGTTGCCTTCACAACCTAGAGAGAATGAACTGATGAGTGAAAGGAAGTGTGGGAGGTCGAGAGGTTGGACACATATCTGCGCAGGAAGCCTAAAAGTTTATTTGTACTCAAGCTTTAAAGTATTCTGTATTCCGGATAACTAAATAAATGTGATAACAGATCACTATCAAATGAATAAAGGATATTTCCTTTAAAAAACTAAATTCAAATATGCTGGTTTTCTTTAAATCACTGTCTAATAGCACAATCTTTAAAATTCACCTTCTTTTCAAAGTTCAGAAATAGCAATGTTACATTTCCACTATTCTTTCAGCCTTCCTACACACTGAATAAGGAATGGATATGATTAACCACTTTATTAAATGAGAAAACAAGAATCTAGCATTTTAAGGACAGCAAACTAATAACAAATTCAATAGAATTTGGGTCTCTGAGCACCCTGGGTTTCTCATTTCTATTTCTTCTATACTCACTTTTGTCTACATTTCTGGGACATATACTTTGTTATCCAAAATATAGCACAAGACTTAGGGTTTAGTCTTCCAGGAATAATAAGAAATCAACACTTTCGTTTTTACTAGCTTTGAATCCAGTTATGAAGTCATAACTTGTATATCATATAATCTAAGTTTTGACAAACATCTCAGAAAACCTGATTTGACACACTAAAAGAATATACATTATGAATATGCTTTATTTTGAAAAGTGTTCCCAACTGTTTCAACTATCAAATCCAGTACTTAATTTAAAATTATAAACCCAAATTTTCAAATTGAGGTGTATCGAATTTGCTGGTTCCAATTACATATAACACATTCAAACAGTTTCAAAATAGCTACAAGACCAATAGAGAAAAAAGAAAAAAGACTGGTCTTACCTGGTAGTTTCTTTTCTCAGATAATGTATGTCCATCAGTCCTCACCATAGAGTCGTGTCCTTTCCTCACAGTACCGGAGGCAATCAAATAGAACTGTCACTCAAGGGTCGTGTCTCAGGAAGGACCGCCCACCACTTCTCCCTCTAGAGTGGAATTATCCAAAAGCCGTCAAAATTACTAACACATAAATATATCAACAGCAGCAAAAATATTCAATATGATACACAGAAAACAAAAAAAAGTAATTGTTCTATACTCCAACCAGTCTTCCTCATAATCATTTTCGTGGGCTAGACTAGCATACTTTATTTGCAACAGAAATTATTAAATATGAAACATTCTTCCTACCCACTTCTACTTTCTTCAATTAAGACTGTCTGCCAGACATCATACACAAGGGAGAAATTTACAGTGAATAAAAAATGAAATGGACAAAAAAGTTTACCCCTCCCACAAGTGATATTTTTTTCTTTTACATTTATCTTCTCCAGTTATCTCAAAAACATACAATTCATATTCAATCATTTAACGACAAATCCTTCCCCTCCAAATGATTATATATATGGTGATAGATAGAAAATATAAGTTACTCACACAGCTACTGATTCATTCTGTGTAGGTTTATTCCCATACAACAAAATGGGAATGCAACATATATTCAAGAGATACAAACCTAACTCAATATTCTATTAAGCTTTACTCCAAAAAGAAGAGCAAAAAATGTCAACTTCCATTGATGCTTTCGTCTTTCAGTCATCCAATTTCACGCATACTCCAATAGGGAATTCACTTTTTTTACACTGGGCGAAAAAATGATGGGGCTAATTTCTTAAACTGCAAAGATATAAATAAGTTCAAAATGACTTGCACTCGAGGTACCACCTCCCACAAAAAAAAAAAAAAAAAAAAAAAATCACTGAAGCTGAGGTGACAGCCACAAGAAATGCTATCTTTAAAATGAATATTGAAAATGAGAGTTCAAATATTCAAAGGTGGGTATACAAACAATTTGTAAATATGCATTTTCAAGACAGACATCTCTTAGCTAAGTTTGGTTAAACATTCTCCCTAAGGAAGTAGTATGTATACCTACTGAACTAATAATCTTGCTAGCCACTAAAGATTATATTCAAATTCAGAACAATTATTTAATATTAACAAACATATTTTGTGAAGAGGTAACATATAATCTATAATTTATAAGGAGAGTGAATCAGTATTATTAAAACCAACAAACACGCATGTACATATATATATGGAGTACCTCTAAAAAGCAATCTATACAGGCAGAACATTTTTTAAAAAAAAAAAACAAATCATTAAAAATGAATATTACTAAATTTAAGTTTTAAAAAGAACCCAGGTGACAAAAACCTATCTTCTGGCTCCTCTTCTATGTTTGATCACAAAGGTAGTGGGAGGTGTATTTTTACTTAAGTCTGACTATCTTACAGTGTACATTTAGCTGAAATACTTCAAGATGTCAGGCTGTATGACAAAATTGTAATTGTTGATTACCAAATTTATAAGTACCTTTGGAATTAAATATGTCTCTTTCAAAAACAACAAAGGAGTAAAGTTTTAAAAGCATACTTACTACTATAAATGTAATCTTTATCATTTAGCAAGCAATGAGGTTTTCATAAGGAAAAGTTACCAAGTGAATTGGATATTCAGGAATTGTTAAATGATGCACATTTGGCTCCAACTCAAATTTTCACGATTGTCACAAAAAGAGAGCAAGATTATTTTATTATGCATCTTCCAAATATTAACTGTTTTAACATTAGTGTTTTATAATATTAAATTGTAAAGTAGTACTTGCTTTACCATTAATACATACATGGTGACTCTGAATTCAGCGGATAATAACACAAAATTTCAGTCAGTACTTACAGAATAAAATGTTTTCCTTCTTATATAATATTTAGGGTCTATGAATTACCTTCAATTATATTAATGTCAGCAAAAGAATGTTGGAAATCTACAATCAGGTAAGGTAATTTTCAACACACTAATGCTGTATACATCTTTAACATAACCTAATTATATACCAAAGGACTGAATTTTATATGCTAATACCATAACAATACATATTAATATTTAATCTGTAAGAATTTATCAGATAAAAGTTCACTTTGAAGAATTATGGATTTTCATATAAAGGGAAAATCTGTTTATTATTTGCTTTGTTTCCTCTTCTGGGGATAATTGGAAATATTTCATGGCCTGGAGTTTCAATCCATAGCCACCATACTCTAATCAATGTGGGAGCTAATATTCTATACTGAAATAAGAATCATTATCTCCTTTTAATACAGAGAAAAATGACTGAAGACACTGTATTTTCTTCCAAATAAACATGAAAAGTTAACATCTATCACCACTATCTTCATCGTACTATATTAAATAAAAATATTCAGCAATAAATTATGTTGATAACCTTCATATTGGAAATGAAAGGATGTACAATAAGTCAAAGAGACAGACTGTGAAAAGGAACAAACATGAGAGACAGCATGCACCCTAGGTGCCAAAATTTATTAAGGTTTATACACTGTTCTCCCACTAAGTCCTATAAATATTCAAGAATTCAGAAAAGACAAATATTTGCAAAACTACAATGAAATTTTCTATAAGGCAAGGGTGTATTTCATGATGAAAAAAAGAGGCTATGTTTACCCTTCTACCTTAAATAAACAGAAAACTAGACAAAATATATGAAACAATGGTTTCCAGACATCACACAACAATCTTCTCAGGACAGAGATCATCAAGAAAAAGGAACAAATATAGTGCACCCAGCTCACGCCTGTAGTTTTGAGGCTGAAGCACAAGGAGGGGAAACTGGAACTAATTCTTTTTAATATATTTGATGAGCACTATAAACTCACAGATCCAAATTCACCACCTCTAAAGAGAATAACAACAACAAAACCACATGATCATAACATCTCAGAGTAAAACTGCTACAAAACAGCAATAAACAAGAATCTTAAAGCAGGGGAAAAAATACATAGAGTAACAAAGGTAGGAATGACATCAGACTTCTCATCAGAAACAATGCAAATCAGAGGACAGTGGTTCAATATATTTGAAGTATAGAAAACAGAAAACTATCAACAAAGAATTCTAAGCCCAGCTAAAATATCTTTCAAAAATGAAGGTAAGTACAGCCATGTTAGAAGGAGGTTAGGCAATTTCTTATAAAGGTAATAAACAAAAGCTTACCATACAACTCAGCAACTATACCCCTAAGTATTTACCAGTACAAACTGAAAACAGGTTCACACCAAAACCAGTACATGTATGAAGATGTATGTATGTTCACACCAAAACCAGTACATGTATCTTCATTTCAGTGAAGATGTGATGTCCTTTAATAGGTGAACGGATAAACAGAGTATCTACACAACAGAATACTCTCAACAACAAAATGGAAGAAGCTGTTAATTCATGCAAGATGGATGAATCTTAAGTGCATTTTTGCTACAGGAAAGAAACCAGACCCCAAAGGCCACAAGTTGAACAATTCCATTAATATGACATTGCGGAAAAGGCAAAATTATAAACACAAAAAATAGACCAATTATTCTCTCTGGCCTTAGTTTCCTAAGCTATAAAATAAAATGATTTAGATGAATCTTAACTTTTCGTTTCTTTAAACATTTTAAAAAACTTTTCCCATGTTCCCCTCAACCCACTTCATTACTCAATAGTATTTAAACAATGACCAAATATTTTAAAGGCTGAAAATAGTATCTAAAATATCTGTAATTGGGTAGTCATTACCACACTCAAAGTTAAAATATGAATTTCGTCAGGTTAAGACAGCTGAACCAGCTGAACAGGTTTTCTTTTTTTTAACAGAAGACATTACATTCTAGGGTAGCTATTAATTAGGACAAACTACAAGATGTGACCAATTTCACTGGAGCTCAATAAAATGTGCAGTAAATGCACTTAGCCATTATTTTTAAAATAAGGGTTCCTCAAATTCTAGAACTATGTCAAGCAACGTTTTCTTAATAGGTCGACTGCAGTCACATAAATATTTCCTTGCCCTTATGAACTAATTTTTTGCTTGATCACATGGATAAATGTTTTTAAAATTCTAAGTTGATGGGCAGATGAAATAAATATAAATAAAACTCAAGAATTTCAGTAAAATAAAAATAAATAAAACTCAAGAATACCATACCTGGTCTAGGAAAATTGCCATATTAACTAAGAACAGTTTCTCTATTTTAGTAATATAGGTTTCATAGACCTATAATTAGCATGTAAAATGAAAAGCTGCCTATATCTACAAAGAAAAACAAATACAACTTAACAATATTCTATTGAAATGAATTTGCTCTCTGGTTGTCATAATACTCTATAACAATGTTGTATGTGTCTTCCATTTTCTATAGTGGTACTACTTTTAACCCAACTGTATAGTTCTCTCATCCATACTCCAAGGAGGATTCTACACATCTGATACACAGAATTTACTCTAAGTAGAGAGTCAGGTCTATCTAAAAGGCCTACCATCTTGAGACATAGAAATTTTCTTCTACTGCAGCTTAAAATTTCAAATGAAGTGAATACTGTAAAGGGAATCCTACTGATCTTAAACGACAAAAGTTCAATAATTTCTGAACCACAGGCTTGAAAATTAAAAGCTCTTCATTTGATTTAGGCTTAAATAAAACTGGGGTCTGAAATTCAGACAATAGGGGTTGTTTCTAGTCTTCCTGCTGCCCGAAATGTACGTATGTTTACACAAGTTGCTTAGCTTCTGTCTGATTTAATTTCCTCCTATTATAAATGGAAATAACATGGTCTAGTTCATGGTTTAGAGAAGGAGCAGCCAGCGAGGGAGATGAAAACCAAAGAGAGTATGGTAGATATCTTGAAAGTTAACTGGAATAAGTGGTTCAAGGAAGAATGTAATCAACTGTTTCAAAAAGCTGTTGATTAAAAAAAGAAAAAAAAAAGATGAGAATTAATCTTTGGATTTAGCAGCATGGAGATCACCGACTTGGTAAACTTCACAAGATAGCTTTGGTGAAATAAATGTACTAACTAGACTGGATTCACAAGAGAACAGGAAGAGAGAAACTGGAGACAAAGTACAGACATCATTTTCAAGAAGTTT